TCGCACAGCATGTCAGCGTCCTTGCTTGACAATTTAACTCAAGCACGAAAACAATCAAACGATTGCGCAAAACACGAGCACCTGAACCATGAAGAGATCATCATCATCATCATCGTTATTATCACCATCATGATCATCATCACCAGCCTGACTACGATCACTTTAGGACGAAGGCATTTTCTATGTTCCGCTAGTCAACTCAGTCCTGTGCTTGCTGCTGTCAATTTAGACCCGTTCACTTCCTAATCTCATTCGCCCACCATACTTCTGTATCCCCCTAACCCGCTTGCCTTCTCTAGGAATCCAGTTAGTTACCCTTAATGACCAGTGGTTATCCTGTCTACGTTCTACATGCCCGGCCGCTGTCCATTTCCTGTTCTTGATTTCAGCGATATATATCCTTAACCCCGTTTGTTCCCTGATCCACTCTGCTCTCTTCTCGTCTCTGAAGATTACACCTATCATTTCCTTTCCATTGCCCGCTGCGTCGTCCTCAATTCAAGCTGAACCCTTCTTGTAAGTCTCCATGTTTCTGCTCCATAGCTAAGTACCGGCAAGATGCAGCTGTCATATACCTTCCTCTTGAGGGATAAGGGCAATCAACCAGTCATGATTTGAGAGTGCTTGCCAAATGCGCTCTGTAATGTCCGGCCGAGCGCCGCATTTAATCAAGCCGATAATGCGCACGCACATGAAACTAATAAAAAGCGTGCGCCGCATCTCGCCCGGGGCTTATCTGGACCGGGCCACGGAATGATGAACATGTGGTAATAAACGTCTCTCGCTCCCAGGAAACTTGTCTGCTTCTGTCACACCGGTCCCGTTAATTAGGGAGGCGATCGCCGGGCTAATTCCAAGGGCCGAAGTATTGGCCCCCCGAACCGCACCACGAAAGCGTGGACAATTTAGAAGTGGTCCTTTTCGGCGCGCCAGCGGACGCCGGCTGTGGCCCAAAGAACAAGTCAGAGCCGAGAGTTGATAAACAAAACAAATATTATATTCTCAAAAATGGCAGATCGAAAACAATACACAAGAATGCACACTCCACAATAGTTACATACAATACGTCACCAAACAAACAACGTACTACACAGTACAATCAACCACAATTGGAACAACGGACACAGACAACAATACGCACTACAATTCAGTCGCATGCATTGAACAACCAAGACACTTAAAGACTAAAGAGATAGAAAACCTATTCAGTCCAAAGTTCTTGGAACCAAAGTCTAGATAATACTCTTCCGAGAATCACTCACTCAAAGTCCAGCGTTGTTGTCGTTCCGCAGCCCTCGAAGTTTCTCTTCCAGGAAACCTCGCCGAAGTTTCTCTTCCAGGAAACCTCCCGTCTTCAATAGGCCACTCTCCAAGCTTCAAACTTCTTCGCCCGAACACGTCGGCTTCACACACGCAGCTGTTGCCACGCGTCCTCGCTCGATAGTGGTAGACACACGCTCTTGCCTGTAGCTCGAGCCTTCACCCCTCAGGTGGAAATCCTCTTCATCTCCTGCTTCGTCCCTACGGACAAAACCTTCGCCGACTACACGGCGGGATCCCTACGCACTCTGGCGCTAAATTCCGTCTTCTCCTGATCTCTCATCTCGGCTGCTCGGTTAAATACCTCCCGCACGGCATTCCAGGAAGTTCTCGTCATTTCGTCGGCGCGATACTCAGCGAAGGCTGGGGAGAGGCGAGACGGTTGGAATGCCCTCCGCGGCCGATGACTCAACTCGGTATGACCACGCCCCCTTCGTTCTAGAACTTTCGCGGGCTATCTCGGCCACCGATGTGGGGTGAGGAGGTTCGTCGGCTAAGCCACGCTTCACAGGGGAGAGCGCGCGCCCGGGGAGCCTTGGATGTTTGTTTTCTTTTTTTTTCTTTTGACCTCCTGGCGTCTCTTCCGCGCGTTACCGCAAGAATTTGGCGGTGCGCCCATTTTTAGCACTCGTTCTGTGACAGCTTCTCTTTCGCATGAACCGACACCCACACAACAACTGGCGACGAAGATGGGATATTGAAGCCGTAGTTCTTCAATTTGGCAGAAAGTGTTTCCTAATTTGGCTCGGTAAAAACGACCATCTTTTTTTTGCACTTTGCAGAGCCGGTGACTTTCATCATGACTGAGGCAGAGGCAGTGGGGACGCGCTTCGCCGGGAGACTAGGGCAGCTGGAACCTTTCGACGAATCTGCCAGCGACTGGGCTTCGTACGAAGAGCGCCTTACATCATTCCTGATTGTCAACCGTGTACCCTACAGCGACAAGGTGCACGCGTTTTTGAGTATCATCGGTCCCAAGACTTACGGGCTGTTCAAGTCATTAACAACTCCAGAACTGCCTCCTACAAAAAGTTTCGAAGCCCTCAAGAAAGTTTTGAGCGACCACCTCTCCCCGAAGCTGTCCGTTATTGGAGAGCGGGCCGAGTTTTACTGGAGGTGTCAAAAGGAAGGTGAGTCCTTGTATGAGTTTGTCGCCAAGCTTCGTAACTGTCGCAAACGTGCGAGTTTGGAAGTGCTCTAGACGAGTCCCTTCGGGATCACTTCGTGTGTGGCCTGCTAGGAGAAGACATTCAGCGAGTGTTTGTCACGGAAGATAGTAAGCTAACGTTCCAGAAAGCGATGTAGCGGGCTCTGGCCAAGGAAGCGGCTAAGAAGAGCGCCGCCGACGCGGCGGTGACTGCGCAGTCGGCGATGTGCACAAGGTGCAAGCTGAACCCCAGAAAACAAGTAAAAGCTGTTTTCGCTGCGGTTCACCAAAACACAGGAATGAAGCGTGCCCGCATGTGGACGCAACCTGTTTCAACTGCGACAAAAAAAGGGCATATCCAGGGAGTTTGCCGCAGTGATCGAAAGAGTTCGTCTAAGAAGCCAGGGAAAAGGAATGACGAGATGCTGATGGTTGTGTCGCGGAAAGCTTCGAGCCTCAGTCTAAACGGCGTGTCCACGGCTAAGCTCGACCCAGTCACCGTACAGATGACTATCAAAGGCGTCTTCGTGAACATGGAGCTAGACACGGGTGCTGCTGTTACCGTCATGTCAACGACTCAGATCCGTCAACTCTTTCCCTCAGCCGTCCTGGAGCCCACTTCAGTAAAGCTTCATACCTACTCAGGAGGACTGGTACGACCCCAGGGGGTGTCCTCAGTCAACGTGCAGCATGGCGAACATTTGGCGCGTCTTCCGCTATATGTCGTTGACCACAGGGGCCACCTCTACTGGGCTGGGAGTGGCTACATGAGGTCCAACTGGACTGGGCGAAAATATGGAACCTGAATAACTTTTGAGTTATTCAACGGGTCAGACACAACCCGTATCAGCGTAAAAAAGAGGCTCGACTCGTTGTTGGCGAAGTACCAACCCCTTTTCAAAGATGAGTTGGACACGATAACGGAAGAGCGTGCCGAACTTATTCTTAAACCTGATATGAAGCCGAGATTCCTAAAGGCCAGGGATGTTCCATTTGCATTGCAAAAAGCTTTTGACGCTGAGTTGGCTAAAATTGAGAAACTAGGGAATATATCACCAGTTACGACATCGGCATACGCTGCGCCGGTAGTACCGGTAATCAAGCAAGACGGCAGCATAAGGATTGGCGGTGACTACAAGACGACCATTAAACCGCACCTTTATGTCAACCGCTACCCATTGCCGAAGGTGTAAGACCTGTTCGCAGCTTTAACGGGATGTAAGCAATTCACAAAGATTGATCTCAATCGGGCCTATCAGCAAGTAGTTATGTCACAGTCATGAAAACAATACCTCTGGCATCGATTGCGGTTGCAATCGATGCCAGTTTCAAGCCAAGAGATTGTGCGAACAATAGCTCGGGACCCCTTGCTTTGTAAAGTGATGGGTTTTGTTGTTGCGGAGTGGCTGTCGTCTGTGACTGAAAAGGATTCGAAGCCTTTTTTTTGACAGATGCAACGAGCTAACAGTTCACCAAAGCGGCATCAATTTCGGGATGAGAGTGGTCGTACCGGCAAAGTTGCGCAGCTTGCCGCTAGACGAACTCCACGAAGGGTACCCAGGCATCGTGCGCAGCAAGCAACTGGCGCGGAGCTACGTGTGGTGGCCGTCCATCGAGGCAGGCTGCGCCGCGGTGGTCTTGTGGCTAAGGTAATCGGCTGCTGACTCACAGGTCGCGGGCTCGAATCCCGGCTGTGGCGGCTGCCTTTTCGGTGGAGGCGGAAATGTTGTAGGCCCGTGTGCTCAAATTTGGGTGCACGTTAAACAGCCCCAGGTGGTCGAAATTTCCGGAGCCCTCAACTACGGCGTCTCTCATAATCGTATGGTAGTTTTGAGACGTTAAACATTACATATCAATCAATCTGGTGCATCAAGGCGGACCTCGAGCATCGTTTCAAGGGTTGCGTAAGTTGTCAAGAACGTGACAAACCGTGCACAGCGCCCCTTCACCCTCGGTCTTGGCCAACAGCGCCTTGGCTGCGCATACTTATAGATTTTGCTGGCCCCTTTTTGCACTCGATCTTTCTTGTAGTCATGGACGCGCACTCCAAGTGGTCAGAAGTGTTGGTTATGCGCTGGACTGCAGCAGATGTTACCGTTGACAGATTGAGATAACTGTTTGCGCGGTTTGGTTTCCCTGAAACGATTGTCCCTGATAATGGCCTGCAGCTCATCTCGGAAAAGTTTAAGCTTTTTGTCAAAAAAATGGCAGTCGTCACGTATTTACAGCACCGAATCATCCCAGATCAAATGGGCTTGCAGAGCGTTTTGTTCAGGCGCTTAAAAACGCCCTTCGTAAACCTACTGGAAAGGACGCGTTACATCAGAGACTACAAAAGTTTTTGCCTGCTTATCGCAACGCGCCTCATGCGACAACTGAGGAGTCACCAGCGAACTCGTTGCTGCATCGTCGGCTGCGAAGTCGACTCGACGTTGTCAAGCCAGAGGTGGGAGGAAGGGTTGCATATAATCAGTTCAAGCAAACCATAGCTCGCCCACGTCGTGATCATGACAGAGCAGTCGGTGACCGAGTGATGGCTCGAAGTTATCGTGGCAGACCCAAATGGGTCCCTGGCGTTGTGGTGGGGCAGTCAGGCCCTTTGTCTTTCACCATTCGTGTTACCACTCCCAGGGGCAGTTTCCCCTGGCGTCGTCACAAGGACCAGCTGCTCGGGCGGACCACAGACCCAGACTGCGAAACATCGGACCAGGAGGGATCAGAGTTCCTGATGGTTCTGCCGAGCGTCGACCCAGGCACATCATGCGCTCCTACCACCAGTAGTCCTGACGTTTCGCAAGACATTCAGACGGCGGGTGCGAGACTCTACCCGTTGAGAGACCGTCGACCACCTGAGAGATATCAAGCTGGAGTTCAGCTTGGAAGAGTGTAGCCAATATAAAAGGGGAGAGATGTGGTGTCCGGCCAAGCACCACATTTGATCAAGCCGATAACACGCACGCACATGGAATGAATAAAAAGCGTGCGCCGCATCTCACCTGGGGGTTTTCTGGACCGGGCCACGGAACGATGAACATGTGGCAATAAAAGTCACTCGCGACCAAAAAAAAAAACTTGTCTCCTCCTCTTTCGCATGAACCGACGCCAAGACAACACGCTCCAACCCGTTCTTTTTCTTCTAGTTACTTCGATCTCGTGGTTCGGCTCCGCAGTTATTACCTGTCCTAAGTAGACGTAGTCTTCTACAACTTCAAGTGCACTGTTAGCTATCTCGAAGTGCTGTTCTCTTCCGAGGTTGTTGTAGATTAGTTTTGTTTTCTGCGGATTGATTTTAAGCCCTACTTTTCTTCCCTCCTTGTCTAACTCCGTAATCATGAGTTGCGATTCGTCCCTTCAGTTACTCAGCAACGCAATGTCATCAGCAAAGCGCAGGTTACTAAGGTACTCTCCACAAACTCTTATTCCTAACTATTCCCATTCCAGGCCTCTTAAAACCTCCTGTAGGCACGCGGTAAATAGCATTGGCGAGATTGTATCCCGCTGCCTTACACCATTCTTGATTGGTATTTTGTTGCTTTCCTTATGGTGGCAGTTGATCCCCAGTATATTTCTTCCAGGATGTTTATGCTTCGTCGACGCCCTGATTCCGCAGTGACTGCATGACTGCTGGTGTTTCAACTAATTTCTACTGAAAGATATACCGTACTTTTATTTTGTTGCCCGAGCTCAACCTTCCACTGGTTCGTCCAAAAAAGCAGCCGAAAAAGTTGAGGCCCTTATCACCCCTGATAAGGATCTACTCTTGTATGACGTCGCACCGCGCAACGAAGGTAATAGTGTACGCAAAGTCAATTTAAATAGGTCGCAAAACTCTCAAAGAAAAGTGGTCCGAAACCTATTGCGAGAGACATCCACAACCGCATGACGATTGAGGGTGACTAGGTAAGAAGGGGACAAATATTGAAAACGAAAAAATAATTAAACATTTATTTTCAATAGATTTATTTCATTTGTTACAAAAAATAGTAGATTGCTTTAAAAAACTTTAGTATTGGGTATGTGGTTGAGTGCCCGATTTTGTTCGTTTAGTTTCAGAAACAGCGGGCTCATGCAGGCAGTCTGCTAACATGAGCCAACGGTTTTACCTAAGAGCGTCTGTTTAGATCAGCGTGTTTTTTGGTTCGGCGCATTCCCAGGATAATGAGGCATCGCTCACTTTTCCGTGGTGATTTTGTGCGTACCTTCAGTAGTTCACTTATTTTTCATGCGCTCTTTACTAGTGGAGCATTTCAGAGCTCAACTAGCTCGCAGAATGTGTCGAGAGCCGCTCCTGTGCCTGGCGACTGCTCTCACTGGCGCAAGAGCAGCATGCCCTCGTCGCTGGTGACGGTGAACACAAGACGCTAAGCAACGAGACACTGTATTGTACGGCGTTCAAAGCTATATTTTCAAAGCTGCTGTCTCACCGCAGTGGTTTTTGACGATTGGGCAACGTGAGTTTTTGAAGTGTTATGCTATTGTGTTAGTGAACAGTTGTCTCTCAATTGCCTCTGCGAAGTTTCTTGTGCATATCGGGGAGACTCGCTCGCTGGATTCCGTGCTGACTGGTTGTGCCCTCGGGATCTCCGACGACAGTGCAGCGCTGGCCGACTGGGTTGGTCCTTTGCCACCTCCTGACGCCGGTCCGCGAGGACGACTCACCGCAGTGGTTTTTGACGATTGGGCAACGTGAGTTTTTGAAGTGTTATGCTATTGCGTTAGTGAACAGTTGTCTCACAATTGCCTCTGCGAAGTTTCTTGTGCATATCGGGGAGACTCGCTCGCTGGATTCCGTGCTGACTGGTTGTGCCCTCGGGATCTCCGACGACAGTGCAGCGCTGGCCGACTGGGTTGGTCCTTTGCCACCTCCTGACGCCGGTCCGCGAGGACGACTTTAGCGTAGCACTGGCTGACTGGTTCAGCCCTACGCCATCTCCTGTTGCCAACAAGAGCTCTCGCCAGTGGTGCCCCGCCCTCGGACTCCTGCGACCGTGTTCATCTTTTTTATATTCTCTTTACATCAGTCGCTCACTGTCCCTGCGCCTCTTTCTCTCTTTTTGTATAATATTTAGTCCTATCCTTTTAATCTCTCATTAACCCCATTTCTTGTGAGCTACTGTTGAGGTGTCGCACCAGATGCAGACAGTTACGGGGCTCACTTTTCTGTTCTTTTTCCTTTCATAACCATATAAGAAGTGCATATTGCAAGTACGTCGATTGGCTAATAAAACAACACTGCTTCCAAAAGTTTTGGTATTTTTTGCTACTTCTCTCTCGCATGCAATTAGCGAGACACAACTAAGGCGCTACAAAATTGCCTAATAATAACGGCACCTAAAAGGTCAGCAGTTAAGAAAAAATTCATTTTGCGCTATGTAGGGCGAATGTTCGACGTCACTACCACTTCCCGTTTCAAAGTCAAAATTTATTTTTCATTTTTTGTTTGCTCTTAGTTGTCTCCTCCTCACATAGATGGCGACGGTGGCAAATAGCCGCGAACTACTGGATACATGGGCTTCTATAAAGTTAGGCTACCAGCTTACATATACCTTGACCTACGTTCATATTAGTCTCCCGAGCTGAAGCTTTCCCTGAGCCGTTGGCTTTCCCACAGTGCATGTAAAAAAGCAGTAAAAAAGTTAGGGTTCTTATCACCCCAGATAAGGCTCAACTTTTGTCTGACGTCACAACTTGCAACGAAGGATACACTGTGCGTTTATATTAAAGCCTCCCAACTGAAGCTTCCCTGATGTATTGGCTTTCCCGCAATTATGTACAGAAAGCGGCCGAAAAAGATAAGGCCCTTATCACCCCTGATAAGGCTCAACTTTTGTCTGATGTCACACCGTGCAAGGAAGGTTATACTGTACGTTTATATTAGAGTCTCCCGAGCTGATGCTTCCCCTAGTGCGTTGGCATTCTTGCAATGCATGTAAAAAAAAGGAGCCGAAAAAGTTGAGGCCTTTATCACCCCTGATAAGGCTCAACTTTTGTATGACGTCACACCGTGCAATAAATTATATATTGGGCCTTTATATAGAAGGCTCACCAGCTGAAAGTTCTTCTGTTGCATTTGCATTTCCGCAATGCATGTCGAAAAGTGGTCGGAATGGTGAGCGTTATCAGGCGTGATAAAAGCCTCAACTTTTGTCTGACGTATCAGATTCTTTTTAGCCGTTTCCGACATCTGCTGAAGGAAAAGATGCAATAATAGGCTCACCGCTTCAATATGTGACGTCGGACAAAAGTTGACCCTTATCAGGGGTGATAAGAGCCTCAACTTTTTCGGCCACTTTTTTGACATGCATTGTGGGAAAGCAAATGCATCGTGGGAAGCTTCAGTTGGGAGGCTTTAATATAAACGCATAGTATGCCCTTCGTTGCAAGTTTTGACGTCAGACAAAAGTTGAACCTATCTGGGGTAATAAGCACCCAAACTTTTTCGACTGCTTTTTTTTTTTCACATGTATTGTGGGAAAGCCAACGCATCAGGAGTGGGAGGGGGGGGGAGCTTCAGCTCGGGAGGCTCTTACGTGCACAGGAGGTCCGTTTTTGCAGGGTGTGCAGTCACACTAAAGTTGAGCTGCTCTTACACAGCTTTTACAATAAATTTCACGCTTAATAATCATCTCAAGCCTGCAGTTTGTAACCTCGAGTCATCTCATTCGTATGTGTTTACCTGCACCACATTACCGCTTTTTACTCGACTAATAAAGATTGATTTGGCTTGATTTACGTTACACGAAAAGGAGACAGTGAGTGGAGCTTCTATATACGTAGGCGGTATAGAAACTGTCTCGGTGATTAAAAATGTAGGTTCATTCAGACATCGCTGTGTCACTTAATACTAATGGCACTGAAGAAACAAATATAGAAAACAAAAGAAAATTTCAAGGCAGTGCTGAGTTTTGAAACCATGGCCTCACGGTCCAAAGCGAGTGTCTTTACCACTGTGCTAAAGGCCCAGGCATGCACAAGGCCACTGTGCCTGAACCTTGCGAATGCACCATAGAAAAAGTCGTGTATCACATAAAAGAATTTTAAAGCTTTCCTGAGTTTTGAACCTACGGCCTCACGGTGCAAAGGCGTGTGCTTTAACCACTGTGCTAAAGGCCCAGCCATGTGCAGTATCACTTTGTCTGAACCTTGTGAATGCACAATAGAAAAATTAATGTATCAAAGAAAAAAATGCAAAATTTAACTGAGCTTCGAACCTACGGCCTCACGGTACAAAGGCGAGTGTCTTAACCACTTTGCTAAAGGCCCAGGCATGCACAGGGTCACTGTGCCTGAACCTTGTGAATGCACCATAAAAAATTCATGTATCAAATTAAAAAATGTAAAACTTCATTGAGTTTCGAACCTACGGCCTCACGGTGCAAAGGCGAGTGTCTTAACCACTGTGCTAAAGAGCCAGGCACACGCGACATCACTATCTTTGAATCTTATGAATTCGACATAGAAAAGTTCATGTATCAAATAAAGAACAAAGTGCGAACCTTCATGGAGTTTCTAACCTACGGCCCCTGGTGAAGTGCGTATCCATCCTGGCGGCTTAATGGGTAGTCACTATAGTGAAGTCCTAATATGGCTTCATGCAACTAACATGTACAATTTCTCTGCGACGACGACGTAAGTCATCAGACGGTGTCAAAGGCTCAATCTCATAATTGACTGGTGACGTACGGGCGAGGCTGTGGTAGTGCCCATTGTATCGCGCCAGCTTTTTCGGCGAAAGGCCAGGAGTTACTCACTCGGCGAAATCCAGAGCCAAACGAGGGCACCAGTCGTGCGAGTAGGGACAGTTCGGTCGGTGTCGTGCCGTAGCTTCTGGTGGCTTTGGTCCTCGATTGTCAGTGAACGGGCCAATTGTCTGCAATATTTGGCGTATCT